CCTGGGTCCTCCCCCCCCCCCCCCCCCAACTCTGAGTCCCCCCCCTGCTCACTGTCTACATCCCCCCAAACCCAGACCCCCCCCCCACCTTGGGGACACCCGGTGGTTCCCAATAATGGGATGGTGGGGGGGTTATGGGGTGGACACTCACGCCGGAGCCCCCCACCCACAAATTGGGTTCCGGGGGGCTGTGGGGTGACGGGGCCCCGCTGTAGGGCTGGGGGGGCCGCGCTGCGAGGTGCCCCCCGCTGCCTGGGACGCAGCGCCGCGCTGTGGGGCCGCTGGGGGCTGCGCCCAACGAGGACGACCCCAAAGCACGCAGGTGGGTGCCCCTACGTGCCCCCATGCAGCCCCACAGCCCCGTGACCCCACACAGCATCCCAAACGTCCCCACAGTTCCGTGTCCCCACGTCCCCAATGTCTCCCATATCTCTGTGACCCCATATCCCCGTGTCCCCATGTCCCAATATCCCCATATCCCCATGTCCCCAGATCTCCGTGACCCCATATCCCCAATGTCCCCATGTCCCTGTGTCCCTGTGTCCCTGTGTCCCCATATCCCCGTGTCCCCATGTCCCCATATCTCCGTGACCCCGTATCCCCAATGTCCCCACGTCCCCATATCCCCATGTCCCCATGTTTTGGTGTCCCCATATCCCCATGTCCCCATATCCCCATGTCCCCATATCCCCATGTCCCTATGTCCCCATACCCCCATGTCCCCATGTCCCCATACCCCCATGTCCCCATGTCCCCATGTTTTGGTGTCCCCATGTCCCCTTATCCCCATATCCCCGTGTCCCGATATCCTTATGTCCCCATGTCCCTTTATCCCCATATCCCCATGTCCCTTTATCCCCATATCCCCATGTCCCTTTATCCCCATATCCCCATGTCCCCATGTTTTGTTTTCCCCCTGTCCCCATGCCCCCATATCCCCATGCCCCCATACCCCCATGTCCCCATGTTTTGGTGTCCCCATGTCCCCTTATCCCCATATCTCCATGTCCCTGTATCCCCACGTCCCCACATCCCCGTGTCCCCATGCCATACGTCCCCATGTCCCCATGTCCCCACATCCCCGTGTCCCCTTATCCCGTATCTCCCCGTCCCCATGTCCTCATATCTCCGTGACCCCATATTCCCACATCCCCATGCCCCCTAATTCCCATGTCCCCATATCCCATGTCTTCATGTCCCCATATCTGCACACCCCTGTATCCCCATGTCCCCACGTTATGGTGTCCCCATGTCCCCACATCCCCACGTACCTATATTCCCATATCCCCGTGTCCCCATGTCCCCATGTGCCCATAACACCACACCCCATATCCCCACGTTCCCATATCCCCACGTTCCTATATCCCCATATCCCATATCCCATGTCCCCATATCCCCATATCCCCATATCCCAGTGTCCCCATATCCCCATGTCCCCATATCCCCATGTCCCAGTATCCCCATATTCCCTTGCCCCAATGTCCCCAGTGCCCCCATATCCCCACATCCCCATGTTTTGGTGTCCCCATGTCCCTATGTCCCCATATCCCCATGTCCCCATGTCCCCATATCCCCATGTCCCCATATCCCCATGTCCCCATATCCCCATATCTCCATGTCCCCATATCCCCATGTCCCCATATCCCCATATTCCCTTGCCCCAGTGTCCCCAGTGCCCCCATATCCCCACATCCCCATGTTTTGGTGCCCCCATACCCCCATATCCCAGTATCCCCATATCCCCATGTCCCAATGTCCTCATATCTCCTTGTCCCAATGTCCCCATACCCCCATATCCCAGTATCCCCATGTCCCTATGTCCCAGTATCCCCATATCCCTATGTCCCAATGTCCCCGTACCCCCCTGTCCCCATATCCCCATGTCCCAATGTCCCCATATCCCCATATCTCCTTGTCCCAATGTCCCCATACCCCCTTATCCCAGTATCCCCATACCCCCATGTCCCCATGTCCCCATATCCCCATGTCCCCATGTCCCCATGTCCCCATGTCCCCATATCCCCATATCCCAGTATCCCCATATCCCCATATCCCAGTGTCCCCATATCCCAGTGTCCCCATGTCCCCATGTCCCCATATCCCCATACCCCCATATCCCAGTATCCCCACATCTCCTTGCCCCAATGTCCCCACGCCCCCATAACCCCACAGCCCCCCGTCCCCATGTCCCGCTGTCCCCACGGCGTCCCCATAACTGCACTCCCCCCTTGCAGGACCTTTGCTCCGACTGCCAGGACCTGGCGGCGCTTCTCCTCCGCGTGGCCAACGCATCGGCAGCCGAGGTGCTGTGGGGGGGGGTGGGGGGGTGGGGGACACACGGCGTGACCCCGAGGGGCGACCCCATGGGTGACACCAGTCCTGGGGGGCAGGCGGCCCTACAGGGGTTCCTGCAGAGGGAGTGCGAGGCGCTGCCGGTGCCCGGCTTGGTGGCACCGTGCCGCAGCCTGGTGAGCCGCTACGGCGAGGTGATGGGGGCACGGCTCAGCGGGCAGCTGGTGAGCGGGGCGGCGGGGACATCGGGGACATCGGGGACAACGGGGACATTGGGGACATCGGGGACATCGGGGACATCGGGGACATCGGGGACATTGGGGACATTGGGGACATTGGGGACATTGGGGACATCGGGGACATCGGGGTGTTGGGGACGGCTGGGGGAGATTGGGGACACGGTGCCGTATGGGGACACCTCGGGGTGCTGGGGAAATGGGGACGTGGTGCCATAGGGGGACGTGGTGCCATATGGGGACAGCTGGAGAATGGGGACATTGGGGTGG